CCGTGGACGCGTGGATTTTTCCTTCCGGTCCTCCGGTTTTCCCCTCCACATTTAGAATTAGCATCACGCGTTTAGTGTATTTGGCTGTTATAAATGTCCACACGATTGGCCACTTCGTTGAGCTACCTGGTAAAAGAGAAATGGTCCAGTTTTTCATAGTTTAAGTTTAGTTTAACACGTGGTAGGCTTTCGCGACCAATATCATCCATAATAGAGTTTTTTTGGGGGGGGGGGGTTAGATCGCGTAAATAAATAAATATGTCGTTAAACCCGCCACCACCCGACACAGCCAACTAGTAAGGGTTGTCACGTAAACAGAACGAGGCCAATTCGTCATTAGTACAGCACACCGGTGTGTTGGAGAGCCAAGCCGCAACATTTACAATCTGAGTACGACGTTTCGCCAGTAATTACAACTAGCATCATCACAATGCAAGTTTAAGTTTAGTTTGTTACGAGAATTCGGAACGGAAGACGATTTATGCAACGGAACTTCTGCCCCAATATCCGACCGCTCTTTCGCTGACGCTGCGCCATTGGCTTGTAGTGCGAGGCAACAGCAGTCTTAGGTGAAAAAAAAAACAACATTTTGTAAGTGTGTAATTTTCTCGGTGTGGCCGCTGGGGCTATTATATAATGGTAATTGTCAAAACGTGTAATACACATCCCTTGGCGAGGTGCGTAATCACAGCTAATTTAAAACGTTCATCGAGGAGTGGCGGTGGAGGTGAGAAACCGTTTTCTGAATTGCGCGAACGCCACGCCGCGAGTCGCACTTGAACATTGATGCCGAATCGATCGCGCGCCTCGGTCGGAGTGGGGAGGGCAGGCCGTGTGGGAGTTGCGGGGGTTCGTCGCGGGAGCTGGTGGCGGGCGCACGACGGGAGGAGAGGTGGGCGCCGGTGGCTCGAGGGAGCAAGACCCAACTCAGTTCGGGGGTTGATTATTGTTGATGCAGCGCTGACGATTAAAGTTAATGCAATTTGACAAGGCCACGACAAATGTGGATTTACAGTATATCGTGTCTCAAGACTCGGGTGCGAAAATACTGGGCGTATTTAGAGGGAGGCCGTCAGCCATGGAGAAGACGAGAGGAAGATCCTGAAGCTGAAGCTGAACATGGCCAGGGAGTCGAAAGCACGAGTGGCTCCAGACTAATGGGGGCAGCAAAGGAGAATGAGATACCTCCCACTGAGCCAAAGGTGACTGGTGGCTTAGACAGAAATCCTTGGTTGAGATGATAGGGGAGAGGTAGGAGAGTGCGTGGAGGGGAGTAGAGTGAGATGAGAGGGGAGAGGTAGGAGAGTGCGTGGAGGGGAGTAGAGTGAGATGAGATGGGGGGGCGGAGAGGGGGTAGAGAGAGAGGAGAGGCAGAGAGGGGGGTAGAGAGAGAGGGGGGTAGAGAGAGAGGGAAGGGGAAAAGAGGAAAACAATTATTTTGGGTCTTTCATTTAAAAGGGGGCGGGGGGTTACGTAAAGCAAAGCATAAAAAAACGAAATGATGAACGGAGCAAAGTGCCGACTACACCGAGCATCTTCTAGTTTCTTCTGATCGTAAAAAAAAGAGATGGGAGAGGCAGAAGAGTGCGTGGAGGGGAGTAGACTGAGATGAGAGAGGAGACGTAGGAGAGTGCTTGGAGGGGGTAGAGTGAGATGAGAGGGGAGAGGCAGGGAGAGTGCGTGGAGGGGAGTAGAGTGAGATGAGAGGGGAGAGGTAGGAGAGTGCGTGGAGTGGGTAGAGTGAGATGAGAGGGGAGTAGGGCAGGTTTCCCAAACCCTACCTCGCGATCCACCACGCTCCGTCTTTCCACATTTACCATTTTACTCCCCATTCAAATACGAATTCACTCGTTCCACGCTGCACGCGCCAGATGATTGTTAAACACGTCCCACATAACGCGCAAAGTAATTCACGCTGGCTGCGTCACATGGAACATGTGTACACGCGCACACACTATACACACACGCGTAGCACACACACAGTACACACACAGCACACACGCAATATACACACGCAATACACACACGCAGTGCACACACAGTTTACACAAATATCACACTCAGCACATACACAGCACGCACGCGCGTAGTGCACACACAACACACATGCGCGCAATACACAGACACGCACTACACACACACCCGCAGTACACACGTAGTAAACACACGCAGTACACACACACACGCAGTTCACACGCAGTATACACACGCAGTGTATACACACACACTCATCACACGCAGTATACACACGCACTACACACACACGCGCGCAGTACACACACACGCAGTACACACACACACACGCAGTACACACACACACGCGCAGTACACACGCAGTATACACACGCACTACACACACGCGCGTGCAGTACACACACACGCAGTACACACGTAGCACACACACGCGCAATACACACACGCGCAGTACACACACACACACATTATACACACACACGCAGTACACAAACACACGCAGTGCACACACACACGCAGTACACACACACGCAGTACACACACGCGGGCAGTACACACACGCGCGCAGTACACACATACGTGCAGTACAGACACACGCGCAATACACACACGCGCAGTACACACACACACATTATACACACACACGCAGTACACACACACGCGCAGTACACACATGCGCAGTACACACACACGCAGTACACACACACACGCGCAGTACACACACACGCGCAGTATACACACGCGCAGTACAGACACGCAGAACACACACACGCAGTACACACACATGCAGTACACACACACACGCAGTACACACACGCGCGCAGTACACACACACGCGCAGTACACACACACGCGCAGTACACACACACGCAGTACACACGCGCAGTATACACACGCGCAGTACACACACACACGCAGTACACACACATGCGCAGTACACACACACGCGCAGTACACACACACGCAGTACACACAAACGCGCAGTACACACACACGCGCAGTACACACACACGCAGTACACACACACATGCAGTACACACACGCAGTACACACATATGCGCAATACACACACACGCAGTACACACACGCGCACAGTACACACACACGCGCAGTACACACACGCGCAGTACACACACGCGCACAGTACACACACACGCAGTACACACACACGCAGTACACACACTCGCGCAGTACACACACACGCAGTACACATACACGCAGTACACGCACGCAGTACACACACGCGCGCAGTACACACATGCACGCAGTACACACACGCGCAGTACACACACGCGCAGTACACACACACGCGCAGTACACACACACGCAGTACACACACACGCGCAGTACACACACACACGCAGTACACACACGCACGCAGTACACACACGCGCAGTACACACACACACACGCAGTACCCATATACGCAGTACACACGCGCCCAGTACACACGGGCGCAGTGCACACACACGCAGTACACACAAACACGCAGTACACACACACGCAGTACACACACGCGCACAGTACACACACACGCAGTACACACACGCGCAGTACACACACACACGCAGTACACACACACACGCAGTACACACACACACGCAGTACACACACGCGCAGTACACACACACACACGCAGTACACACACACACGCAGTACACACACACACGCAGTACACACACACACGCAGTACACACACACACGCAGTACACACACGCGCAGTACACACACACACGCAGTACACACACACGCAGTACACACACACGCGCAGTACACACACACACACGCAGTACACACACACGCGCAGTACACACACACACGCAGTACACACACACAGGCAGTACACACACACACACACGCAGTACAAACACACGCAGTACACACACGCGCAGTACACACACACACGCAGTACACACACACGCAGTACACACACACGCGCAGTACACACACACACACACGCAGTACACACACACACGCAGTACACACACATGCAGTACACACACACACACGCAGTACACACACACACGCAGTACACACACACGCAGTACACACACACATGCAGTACACACACACACACGCAGTACACACACGCGCACAGTACACACACGCAGTACACACACACATGCAGTACACACACACACACGCAGTACACACACACAGGCAGTACACACACACACACGCAGTACACGCATCATCATCAAGCGGACTGCGCCCCGGCACGTGCCCTGTTCGCCACCCGCTGACATTTCCAGCTGATCTCGCGCGGCAGTCCCATCGTGTTCCTTCCGCAATTTCCCCGTCTGAATTATCAGGCGTTTGACATTAAAGATCAGCCTCTCTGTCACGTTCCCAAACGGCATTATGACAGCAGTTAAAAAGCAATTATCCAGATTAGCTCCTGACATTTTAATATCACAGGGAGCCGATTAACACGCCGTTTTGTGGGGAGCTCTGAGCTCCATTATTCTCGGCCCGATTCCTTTGCTGTGACATTTTAAATAAAGGCCTCGGAGAGACAGAGAGAGAGAGAGAGGAGAGCTCGACGCATATGCCACCGCCTTCATGAAAAAAAACAATAAGGAAAACAAATTTAAAAAAACCCCATTAAAGTGGTTAAATAAACCGCGCGTCCCACGCAATCAGCACGGAGACTCGCACATGGGCATGGAGAGGGCCGTGTGGGGAGTCCGGAGGCTGCCCCTCCACCCCGCTCCGTGTGCCGTGCCGGCCTCAATAGGTGCTCGCAAACAGCACTTGCCCATACTGTTTGTTAAAGGCTATAAGGGGGGGGGGGTTATTTGTTTTTGTAGTGGTTGTCGCGCTGCGCTTGACTAATGTACCAGTCTAGGTGCACGACCTCTGCTTTCTGACTCTTCCACCTCGCTGCATTTTATCCGCCCGGCACTACCGCTCGTTGTTGTGAGCGCCGCTCCTTTTGCCTGGCCACCACCACCACTACCCCATCTCCTCCACTTCCACCCCCCTACCCCCCCACGACTCCCCCCCCACCTCCCCCACCCTCGCAGGCAGCAGCGATCCCGATGTGAGGCGGCCGGGCAAAGCGCCCGTGTGCTGCCTCAACTGGAGCGCGGGCGAGCCGGGTCTGGAGGCGGTGAGCGGAGCTACGGGGAAGGCGGAGGGTGGGCGACCTTCGCGGCTGTGCAAGCAGGCGCTGTTCGCTCGCTGGGCGCAGCTGCACCCCAAGGTGTGAGGCTGCGCGAGCAGAGAGCAGCGCCCCCCTCCAGCACCACCCACCACCTCCTCCTACCCGTACCCCTCCCACAAGCATTGCAGCGAACCCTGCACCGTCATCGTGCAGAGCGCAGCTCGGAGTGATATATTTCAGCAACATTGGTTTAATGGAAGCACCATCGGTTTCAGTTCAATACGAAACCGCACACAAAACGACTTCATCCTTGGATTGCGAGCATCGCAGTTGTCTAGTGAGCAACTGACCGACTCCTTACATTGTATTTATTAGTTGCGTTATACCTTGATCTTACCCCGAAAACGAGAGTACAAGCTGTAATTTGGGCTGCGTAGGAATAACGAGGCGTTGTATGCCAAGGCCATCATCTGCTGACGTGAGCCTGGATCGTGAGTTTGTTTGAGCCAACGTGGATTTTGTTTTCGGGTGGCAAATATTCGCTGTTCATTGATTCTGGATCTCAATAAAATGTGCGAATATATTTTTTGTTGATGTTTTCGCCGGGTAGGTGAGAGCTCAGAACAGCGGAGCTGCCGACCGCTGAGAACCTTGGTTTGAATCCAGGTTTCGACCACATGCGGTTAATTATACGCATTTGTCTAAGATAATCGTGGTCTCCAGAGGCTCTATGAATAAACATCATGCAGGAGGTGGGGTCGGGGGGTAGGATATGTGACCTTGATTTAGTAGCTGGTGTAGAGTCCGTGGAGACTTTGGACAACATTCCCAGTTGGTGAGACGGCTGAAGCAGATCGCGTCTTGGTGAATTCCTCCCGGTGGTAGCGGTGGTGGTGGTGGTGGTGGCGTCGGTGGTCGCGGTGGTGGCGGTGGTGGTGGCGGCGGTGGTCGCGGCAGTGGTGGTGGTGGTAGCGGTGGTGGCGTCGGTGGTAGTGGTGGTGGTAGTGGTGGTGATGGTGGTGACGGCGGTGGCGGTGGTGGTGGTTGCAGTGGTGGTGGCGGTGGTGTCAGTGGCGTTTTTTTTCTCCTGCCAAAACTCTCATCAAGGGAGACCTGCACCGCAGAACAGAGTACGGAAAAACAAAAGCGAGACGGCATTAGCGCGTGAAACAAAGTCATGACATTTTAAAATGCAAATATACATTTAAATGCATATATTTATATATAATGAGGTATATCGCAAAAGGGCTTTCATTCGCGTTGTCAAAGGCACGAACATAATATCTCTTTAAAATCTGACTGAAATTAACTATAAATTATTCTGTGTCTGGCACAATTCTGCATGTCCGACAATTTCCAGTTATCTGATGGTTATCGTGAAATAATGTACAATTGTGACGATGATAACAGAGTCTCACAGAGTCTCCACGTGCTGATTCAGGAGGGTTTTGCAATGGGGTGTTTTGGCCACTTGCTCTGTCAGCGTTGACGTGCGGCAGGAAACCGGAATGCCACGCAGATGGATTCACGCGCCTACTTGCTGTACTACATTTCTGTGGCCACCTCCAGTTTCCTCCGATTGGTTACCCCAGCTCCGTCCAACGCACTTGGAAATGGAAATTGTCCAGACCTCCCGATGTAGCAGGACCCTCCTAAAAGCGGAGTCTTGGGACTCTAGCCAGGCTCTCCTGGGGGTTAACGAGGGACATGTTACTCACCAGCAGCAGCATCAGCAGCACAGAATTGACACCTGGAGGCACGGGCAGGTGATGATGTTAACTACCTCGCCTGGTATACAGGAGTTGTTGGGTTCGATCCCGACCCTAACGCCTGCTGTAATTTTTGCGTGTCTCTCTCCCCTTGGTCGTGTGGATTTTGTCTCCGGGTCCTCCGGATTTTGTCTCCGGGTCCTCCGGTTTTCCCCCCCACATTTAATAACATGCCTTTTTGAGTATTTGGCAGATATCAATTTCAATGCGATAAGCCACTTCGTCGAGCTATTATTTGTGGCCAGGTTGCTTCAGAAATAAAGAGCTGCATAGCTCAGTGGGCCTTACCCGGTAATATAAAAACAGTTGAGCTTTAGTGTCGTGATGGGTAGCTGTCACTATCACTGATTGGGGGGTGGAGTGGTTAACATTGGGAGGGGGAGGGTGGGGTGGGCAGTGGGTGGCGGTGGGGGTGCGGGGCAGGGAGGTGGTTAAAGAGAGAGAAAGGAGTCTGCGGGGCTCGTGATTGTAGTCCGGCTTCACGGGTAAACGCGGCTGACGCAACGCGGTGACTGTGGTGTGTGATGCAAGCAGAGGGTGTTGATATGTTTTATTTATGCGTTTTCCACTCGCGCAATCACGGGGCCTGCTGGGACGCAGTGGCCATGTGGGCCGGTCCATCATAGAGACTCTCTCTATGTCGCTCGAGCGGGCCAGGGAGGGGAGTGGAGAGTGAGCGAGTGGCAGATGAGGGATGGGGTTAGGTCTCGGAGGCCGATGGAGCCGCGCGACGTTCGCGCGCGTGGCGCCTAATTGGCACGGGATGAAGTGCCCCCTGGGAGCGAGCGGGCACCTGTGCATAGGCACGAGTTCCTCTGTGTGCGTGTGTGTGGGTGTCGCTCCGCCGTCTGTCACGCGGACGCACACAGCGACGCATGCACACATACAAGACAAAGACAAAAGACCCCGCGTATAGCCTCAACTTGCTGTTGGGGGGCAAAGTGCTGTGAATGCAGGGACGGCACACAAAGGGGTGGGTGGCCAGCACCACGCCCAACCGCATTTGTCTCCCCAGTGGCGATGTTTACACACCGCACCAGGTACTCATTTGAGGCTGAGTCGACCTAGGCGACACCCAAGACCGGATCAGATATTCGCCACTGGTGTTGGCCGTGAGCGGGAATGGAAATCGGCTCGCCAGGTTCGTAGCTCAGCGCGCTAACTGCTGTAGCACCACTCCCCCACACACGCGCGTGCTCCCCCCCCCCGACACCGACACACGGCTCTCCCTTCCCCTCTCTCCCACTGGAACTTTCACCTCTCATCAAGCCCTTCTCCCCAATAACGATCTCTCGCCCTCTCTCGCGCTCCCTCCGCTGCCTCCTAAGGGATCTCTAAACGGTATCAACATTTACACGAGCGGGGGGGGGGGGGGGGGCTGAGGGAGGGGGGGCTGGGGGGCGGGGTAAGAGGCGTGGCCTAATTTACCCTTTCTGAGTGGCGGAGCAGGGATGCCCCCCACCCCGTTCACTGTGTAACTCGTGGAAGTGTTGGGGGGGGGGTAGGGTAGGGGTCCCTACAAAACCCCCCGGGTGATATCCGAATGCCCCAAGTTGTTTAACCCATTCCTGCCCTGCTATGTCCAACCAAATTCTGCACGTAACTGCATTGAACAAAAAGGGGGGCTAGAAGCATCTCGTCCAGTTGAGTTCATTTCTGACTTACACTTTCAGCACACATCCTTCTGAGAGTGCCTATTTATCAGCGACATTAGTTTCATGTAAGCAAACTCTGGACAGGTGTGGACACTCAATGTCTCATCATTTAGTCAGGTTAAATTACTCACAGAAGGTGGTGTGGCCGATGGAATGGACCAGTATCATCCACTATTCTATTCTCAATTGATAAACTCGAGAGAGAGAAAAGGAGAGCGAGAGATGGATCCGTTGTGGTGGTCACGATGAATTGGCGTTGGGCATTACATCCTTGCACAAATCTCTCTCGTGAACGCGTGTGGGGGTAGCGAGAGGGAGGGGCGAGAGAGAGAGAGCGGAGGGGAGAGCGTGCGGGAGAGAGAGAGAGCGTGCGAGAGTGATGTGCCGCAAGTCTGAATGCGGATGGATGCTTGCGGCCATCACTCTTTAGAACTGGCCCGGGTCGGCCCCTGGTCGGCCCGGGTGGCCGCAGATCAATGGCGGGGCCCCGATTCGCTCTCTGTGCCGTTCCGCTCGGGCAACCTCCCGCGATGAGCACCCTGATGAGCAGCCCGGCCTGTCAGGGTCTGGGAGTGCGGGGTGGGGGGAGAAGAGATGAAGGAGAGCGAGGAGAGAGAGAGAGTACAGGGGGCTGGGAAGGTGGGGTTCGTGAGGGGTCACACGTAGATGCCGTTCTCGCCGTGGCCGACAAATGGGCCCTGGCTGATTCCGTTGAGGAGGAGGAGCGCGTAGCCCTGGGAAGGAAGAGGAACAATGCGCAGAGTCAGAATCAGAATCTTCATTTAAACTATACTGGAGGAATCCGATTAACTATAAGGCTCTTGTTCACAGATGTCCGCTAGGGGCACGGGGTCATAAAGTGACAACAAAAAAATTCATATTCTTTGGGTCTTTCGGTAAAGTCACGTAGATAGGTTCAAAGAAGATAACAAAAAAGAACAAAAAAATACGACTTTTCGATCACAACACAAGCGATCGTCATCAGGGGGAAAAACGATGACGATCGCTTGTGTTGTGATCGAAATGTCGTCGTTTTTTGTTATTTCTTTGTAATTTTCTTTGAACCTATCTCCGTGACTTTACCGAAAGACCCAAAGAATATGAATTCCTGCAGTCATGAAAGCTTTAAGTCAAGATTTAAAAACAATACAGAAACACGATAGGAGTGCACAGTACAGGAAAGGTAAACACGTCATTTGAAAAAATAATATATACTAATAATTTTTTTATCTTACTAGGTAATAACAATTTCATTTTATAAAGCATCGTTCATGCAATTGTATCCCACTGAGTTATTAGCTTCTTTTTCAGAAGCGACCTGGCCACAAATGATAGCTCAACGAAGTGGCTTTTCAAGTGGAAATCTATAGCAGCAAAATCATCTACATAATCTCGAGGTGTGTGAAGAGGGCGGTGATGGTGGTACTGTCATCGTCGTTATCAGCTGCTGGACGAATGCCTCCCCAAGTCGCCATCTCTCACTGACCCGAGATTAAAAATCCACCTCACCTCTTTCACACGAGCTGATTAAATCGCTCCATCTGCATGGTAGGACATCCTCTCGGGCGCATTCCTTCCTTTGGCTGCCACTCCCTTGTTAGTGTCGACCAGAGGCCATCGTCCCTTCGAACCGTGACGTGCCTTGCCCAATGCCCCACTTACTGTGGTGTGCAGG